AAATATCTCCTTTAGGAACTTATCTGAGGGATTGGCGAGGTGGTTAGGAGCTCTGGCTGTTCTCCCAGAGGTCCTGAGTTCAACTCCCCACTACATGGTACCTCACAACCATCTATAATGAGATCTGATGCCCTCTTCTGGCGTGCAGGCATATATGCACACAGAACACTGTGTACATAAGAAATAGATAAACATTTTTTAAAAGAATTTACCTAGGATAGCATCTACTTATTTTATCTCCCCATAAAACTGGTCATCTTAAACAAAATGTGATATATGTATATAATATATAGACGCACGTATATACATGGATATACCATGGGACATTATTCTGCCAGTTAAAACTAAATACTTCCATTTGTGACAACATAGATAAACAGAAAAATATAATGGTGAATAAAATAAGTGAAGTACATAGGATTAATGCTACATGTTCCCACTCAAGTGGAGATTCAAGGAATTAATCTTACAGAAGTAGAAAATGATCATTGGATAAGGGACACATGGATAAACAGAAACTGGAAACAGATCCCTAGACTTAGGATAAACAAGTTCTAATGAACTATACACAGCAGGACAACTATAGCTCACAGCAATTTATTAAGATTGTTATAAATAACTAGAAGTTTTAAAATTCTGAACAGATGAAATTAGAAGTGTTTAAGGAATTATAAAGCTTATTTTAATCATTACAAATTATATACAGACATTGAGTCATGAGCGTACCCCATAAGCATGCACAATTCTAAGTGTTAAAAGTTAAATAAATAAATGAAACAAAATAAAATCTGAAAAAATATATCTTTACTCATTCTTCAGAGTTAAGTTACAAGAGCAACCTTAAACTAGAGAACTTTTTAAAGATTTTCTTTTACTCCTGTGTAGATGTGTGTGTGTGTAAGTAAGAGTGTGTACCTGTGCCATCAGGCACTCAGAGGCTAGAAGAAAGTCTCAAATTTCCTGAAGTTGAAGCTACAGATGGTGGTGAGCTACCCAAATCTGGTCCTCTGGGAAGCAACAAGTACTCTTAACATCTGAGCCATCTCCCCAGCCCTTCTTAAATACAACACAACAGTATCCTGAGTTTTTATTTTCTATCTCACTTTTCAAATTATCTATTTCCCATATTTTAATACTGTAAGGCCTATATCTTACCCATCCAGGTCATGTTATGATCTACTACCCGGAAAGCAAAGGCAACTGCAAACCCTGAAACAAATGTCATTTCTTCAATTTTAAATTATGAATATATAGCCGATTGAATTAAAGTAATGAATTATAATCAAGAAGTTGATGAAAAAAGTAAAATTATAATTATGTGGCAATTTTATAGTCAGTTAAGGCTCATAGATATTCAGGAAAGCAAAAAATATTCTCCTCAAATCTTGGGGCTTGAATCAGACATTTTGAAAACTTAAGTACCTGACTTTATAATTAATCACCCAATAACACTCGACTTTGCTTTTAATAGATTTTTAAAGTGTTGAAGTTAACCAAATAAGGTCAAACAAAAGACAAGAAATAGCAGTTTTGTTGAATAAGTGATCATTAAAAATCTTTCTTGTCCTCAGTCTTCTAGGGAATAAAGGAAACACACTGCCCTTGACTTTGAGATTGTATAGCCTATAACGATGCCGTCTACATAAGTTGCCTCAGATATTCTTGAACTTATGACCATCAACTTCTTGCCTTGAGAACTATATTTTTAATGCCTCCTGGGTAATACAAACATGGCCTTATTATTCAAGATCCTGTGGACACTTTGAACTGAATACATAGACCAAAATAAAACCTCAGTTTTTTCTCATGTTCCCACTACAGACAAACATCTGCCTTAAGCCTTAATGCTTCTGTGGTGGTTTGAAAATGGCCCTCACAGGCTCGTAGAAAGTCTGGAAGTCATATCCCTCCTAATCTGTAAGTTGTAGGAACCTCTAAAGGGCTTCCAGCCCCTCCCTGGGCAGTGTCATTGGCACTTACAGAACAGTGATGGGTCCAAGTATTGCTGCTGAAACAGGTTAATGATTGAACCACCACTCTCAGAAAGAACTTAGAGATGTAGATGGTTAACAATGACCACCACCCTTAGAAAGAATTGAGAAATGTAGCCTCTGAGAAAAGTTAGGTTAAGATGTTTTTGCTAGTGGCTTCGCCCTAGAATATATTGGGGAATAGTTTATAGTACTTAGAAGTTGAGCCAAAGATTCTTTGAAGTCAGGGAAGAAAAACAATGACAGCCCAACCAGTATTAGCTGGCATGCCTTTCTTGCTGAAGCTGGGCTGGTGATTTTTCTATACATATTTTTGCCCTCAGCTTCCTGATATGGTTTAATGAAAAACTGGTAGTAAATGGGTATTCACTCCGAAGATTTAAAGGTTTTTTATATATATATATGTTTAGGTGTGTGATTCTTTTAGGATTTTTTAAATAAGATATTTAAGATAAATAATAAAATGATTGATCCATGTTTTGTAACAGCCAAGTTCAGCTTGCCAGTAAGAAACTAGCTGACAACATTATCTTGCTTGCTTACCCTTTGTTAATCTATAACAAGTTGTTTAGATGTGAATGCATGCAGGTTCTTGGGAATAACTTGTTTTTCACCCATATTTTGTAAAATACATGGTCATGTGAGGGTATTGGGGAACATTTTTAATGCATATTCATTGTAATTATTCACTTAAAGAAAAATAGAATGTAACTGTTGCTTTATCCACAATGTGTGTTTGCGTGTGTGTGATTTTTCTCCTTTTTATCCAGCCCTGAAGAGAAGAGTTTTTCCACCAGTCCCAGAGTGTTTTTTACCAGCCCCAGGGAGTTTTCTCCAGCCCCAGAGACTTAGGTTTTGTTTCCTCAAAGTAAAGTCTGCTGAATGATCAGTCCCTGGCTTCATCCCCCATCTCAGTTTGCCTATCATGCCAGAGCCAGCTTCCTACACAGACCCAGTATTTTGGGTTAGCATACCCCAACATCTACCCCATCGGTGAACAGTTGGAGCACATGAAGAGGCCAGTCCTACAGATCCAAAGCTGCAAGATCTCCATGATACAGGGCAACAAGATACCCAAGAGTGGTCCTAGGGAGAAGACAGTATTCGCAATGTATCAGAAGCCAGAGGACTGGAACCAGAGCGATGGCTCATTGCAATGAACACCTGCAAGCTAAGAAGTGTGACCAAAAGGATATACTGTGGGACATGTTTTTAAACTCGGCTTTATTTGGGGTTCCTTAAAGCCTTGTCCTTCCAGCCCCCCAACCCTCGGTAGGCGAGAGAAAGGTATGGGAGAGGAGGCCAGAGACTCCTTTACTTCTCCTGGCTATTTAGAGTCCATGAGTTCTTTTAGGGTTCTACAAATTCTCCGTCAACAGCAAAAGCAGCAAGTACTCTCCTCTGTCTCTCTCCTCCAAGCCACTGTGCCACGAAGTGTCTCTGGTCTCTCCAAACTGCCTCTCTCCTATTTACGTCCCTCAGAGTCCTAAACCATGCCCTTCTCTGTGCTGCATGAGACAGGCTATTACCAGCTGTGGACAAACGGAAGCCCAAACTAAAATCCTACACTTGGGATTAAAACAAAAGCATGTTTACATAACACAACTGAGTTTTTAAAGGAGGTAAAACTTCCATTACAACACAGTGTGCCTGCCAAACTACAGCATCCACAACAAGATTTATTTATTTATCTTCATTTGACGGGAAAGTTGCAAGAACTGAGGGTGGGTATGAAAGGATGAGGAGAGGAGTGGGACTGGGGTACATGATGTGAAGTTCACAAAAAAAAAATCAATTAAAAGTTAAATTCTAAAAACACAGAAGGATTTAGGGGGTAGGGGGAAAGGAAAGAAGGAAGGAAGGAAAAAAACTAATGATCTGAGGATCTTAGAAGTCTTCAGGGTTATATACATTCATGGAGCATGTAGGAGATGGAGATTTGTCAAGTAGGCTGCCTAGGTGTCCTAACTGCAATGTGATGCCCATTGCCTCACAGCAGAGGAGGCGGGAACATAAGCAGATATTTACAGCTTACAACTTACACACTGTACTGGTATGCTTCTGTTTTCTCAGAACGGAAGTTACTGAAAAGATGTCACCTGAATTGCTTTTGTCTTGTTATATGATAAATTACCACACACTCAGAGGCTTACACCATCACCTGTCTAGGTTTTCTGGATCAGAAGCCTGGGAGTGTGGCTATATTCTCTGCAGAAAGTCTTACGAGGCTGAAATCAGCGTGTCAACCAATGCAGGCAAGGGCCTCATGAGGAGGTTTTGGAGAAGAATCTACTCTCAAACTCATTCATGTTATTGTAAAAACTCGGGTCCTTGTAGTTATGGGATAAAAATCCTGTTTTCTTATTATGGGCTGTTCAGAAGTCACTGTCAGCCTGGGGGTGGACCTGAAATTTTTATCAGTAACCTCTTCCTTCTTCTTCAAAATCCATCAATGGCTGGAGAATTTCTATGCAGTAACCTTCCCCTAGACTTCCAAATTCTGACTTTCTGTACTATTGCCAGCTAGAGAAACTTGCTTCAGAAGGTTCCCATGGTTATATCAGATTGCTGTACTATGTTCCTATCTTGAAGTAAATCATGCCATATACCTGGTGCTGAGTGGAGCAAAGCCCACATATTCATCATTCCCAGGCTTTTGAAGTCATGATGTCACCTTAGATCCTGCCTGCCATAGCAACTTTGCTTGTAGTGACAGAGTTTAATGATAGAATCATGGTCCTAAGAATGGACCATGTCAAGAAGGGACCATTTGCTGTTTGGAGAACTGTAATTTTTTCAATAGCATATGTTCTGCTGAAGAGAGTACCTGCCATCAAAGTTTTCAATGGCAGTCTATGTTACATCAGAGCTATTTTCATTTTATTTTAGGGTTTTCATTGTGTTATTCAATTGCAAAGAGGAGAAAATAAGAATCTTGAATGCATAAGGGGAAAAAAAACTGTATGTATCTTCTCAGGCACCTATCACCATTTTTTTCTTCTTGTTTAGCTTTAAGAGCAAAATGCCTGCAACCTCAATTATAAATGAATACGCTGACGCCCACCTACACAAGCTTGTGTCAAGAATGCGGGAAAGGACTGCTCTCTACAAGAGAACGCTGACAGAGGGAGAAAATACCTCCTCACCCGAAGCTAGCTCCCATAGTGGTAAGCATGATTCCCTCAAAGTACGAGCAAGAGGAAAGTTATGAGAAAAACCTGTGTTTGGCCAATTATTCAGCTTAGGACCCAGAAAAGCGGATCCTGAGACACTAATTTTAGATAAATTACACCAGTTTATTTTTTTAAAGTGATTCAGAAATCTCAGAGTAGCGAGAGACAAAGAAAAAGGTGCACTGGTGTGACCACCACTCCCCAGGCTGGATCTAGCTGAAAAATAAAGTTATTCCAAGAAACAAAGACTCTAGGGAGAAAGCTCAGTAGCTAATGTTCTCACATAAGGAACCCACCGAGGTGGTCTCTAGGATGACTATGTGCAGAAGCTACCAGCAGCACCTGCTGTGAGTTCTGCTGTTAACCTTAAACAATACCCAAGTAATACAAAATTCATATTACATAAATACAAGCATGATTAACAGGGAAAGGAACAATTATCAACATTCTTAGTAATTACAAAATGTGGGTATGAAAAATAACAAGAACACCAGATCACAACAATAATACATAATATGATTGATGCTTGTTGGCATTTAAAAAGAGAAAGAAGAAAAATGACTGCTTGACAGAAAAAATTACTTAAGTCTAATTATAATGAAATGGGATAGAGGGAAACTTTTCAAAGCATACTATGCATTATACGGTAGTTAATGTTTGAAGAGATAAGACTGAAATAAATCATAGTTTGATAAGCACATTTTGAAATTTGTTTACTCCTAACTCAAAGAGTATGTATGTATGAAAATGTAACTTTAAAGTAAACCCTATGGAACAGTAGACTTCTGACCTTTGATGCCTTGTGAATTTGAAACTGCTATTTTCTGGCTTTCGATGTTTTAATTAATTTTATTCAGTTTTTATATATACACCATTGTTGTATGTTATTTGTTGCATATATTTAGGAAGTACAACATTATGATTTATAATACATACAGAAAAATAAAGGTCATTTGTTTAAACATGACGGTTTTGCTTTGCTTATGTGGAGAGGGGAAAATTTTCAAATATTTTAATTTCATCAAAACGAAATGTTTTACTCATCAAGCTAACCTATGTTAACCTTCTAAAAATGCACTTTTTTTTACTATGAAGTAAAGTCTACAGATATATCACCAACACAAGCGGACAATTCTAAGCTAAAAGAACCCCACCATGACACATGGTCCTGCCAACTCCAGAGGGCACCTGCTAAAGAGTACCTAAGAAGAGTGAGACTTCCGAGAAGCATAGATGCACACTCAGGTACCATTGAAGGGGATCCCACCAGATGGGCAGCAGTCACCAGAACCCCTTTGACCCAGACGTGTGGAGACAGCTTCAGTTTTTCCATATTGTGATCTATCTTGAAAGTATAATTTAAACTATGTGGTCTGAAAAAGGTTTGTTTTCCTTTATCTGCTGAAGACAAGAGATAAAATACCCTGCCTGATTTAAAAACCAGGCTAGAGCTTTTTCCTGACCCAAATAACCTTTTAAAAGAAAGCTTCAAGGAACTTGGCAATATGTAGACACACACAGACAGACAGACAGACACACACACACACACACACACACACATACACACAGATATTTATGTGTATGTATGTGTGTATGTACTATGTACATATGTATATATTATATATACATCATTATATATTATTATGTAATATTATATTACATATAATTTTTATGCAGTTTGTATATTATTTCTATATTTTCTATATTATATATGCATATATGTATGTATATGTACAAATATATGAAATATATGTGTGTATAGATAGATAGATAGAGATAGATAGATAGATAGATAGATAGATAGATAGATAGATAGATATAGATAGTAGATAGTACCCTCTTTCATGGCTTCACTAAGTTAATTAATCAAACAAATTCTCTCCTAAACCCTTCAGAGCAAAGAAAAGCAGCATGTGAAGGGACACTGGTTGCCTCAGGTAACTGGTTCTCCCTCCTCGCATTCAAAGCCAACTCTCTTTTTGCAGAATGAAGCCTTTCTCCAACTTGCTATGGGCAGGCCTTAATTACTGGGGACTAAAGATCCTTTGTTTCAAGAATACCTTGGCAATGACACATCTAAATTTTCCAGGATTCCATTATCCTGAATCCAAAGAGTGAATTTACCTCCCTCATTTTAGCCAAAAGACAAAAAAGACACTGTCCACTTTTGAGGGAAAAAAAAAAGTAATACTATGATTCTCCTTCTTTGTGTATGGCACAACACCTTCTACTCAAGACAGAGAGTTCTGTTGAATAGTTACTAGAAGTTCTTACTGAAAACTGTTTATCTCCAAAGAATAAAGGTTGGGCAGATGCCTCAGTCTATGAAATGCCTACCACTTAACCACTAGGACCTGAATCTGGATCCCCAGCACCCCTGCAAAGCTGGTCTTGGTAGTGCATACATCATCCTGTCAACTGAGTGGAAGAAGGCAGATGGATCTCCAGATTTTGCTAGCTGGTCATTCTAGCCAGTAAGAACTGAGAGACTGTATCTCCAAAACTATGGTGAAAGAGTGTTAGCCCCAGCGTTAGCCTCTGTTCCCTTCACGCCAGGGCACACACCCTTTTGTGTGTTCACAAGCAAGTGTGCCCACACAATCACACCACAAATACACACAAAGATAGTGCCTCAGTTTGATCAAACTAAGAAAGAAACATCTTGGAATGCTTGTGTGGCTCTGTGGGGATGACTTGGGCTCTGTTTTGCTAGATCGGGTCTACCTCCTGTGGCTCCTGCTTGTCACCATTGCCTATAACTGGAACTGTTGGCTGCTCCCAGTACGCCTCGTCTTCCCGTACCAGACACCAGACAACAAGCACTACTGGATTATTGCCGACATCATATGTGATATCATCTACCTTGGTGATATATTATTGATCCAACCAAGACTCCAATTCATACAAAGAGGAGAAATTATCGTAAGTGGGTTTTGTAGAAAGTGGTTGAAATCTGAACAATGTCTAAGTGGACTAGGGTTTCAAGATTGTTTCATTTAATGTTTGACTCTCTCTCTGTGGATAGAACTTCATCAATGTCTGAATATTACAATTCATCTAGCTTGTCATCTCTCCTTGATACTCAGTCTTCCACTTGATCCACTCTACTGGTAAAGCCTTCTACTGGGTTTCCATATGACTAACGGAGTTTTACATTTCTAAATAATAACAACAATAATAATAAGTTTACTGAGTTCTTTAATATCCTATATTGATTCTCTTATTTTTTCAGCTATTTCTTTGTATTCTCTTAAAATTAATTCATACCTTTGATTTAAGTGAGCACTTTTATGATTATCGTTTTTAATTTTTGTCTGAAATTTTATCTAATTCCTTTTCATCGGAATCCTCTTCTGTAGAATTATTTACTAGGACTCGTATTTATTCCGTTGTTTATACATACACTTCTAGATTGGGATGTATGAATCTGGGGTTATTTTCTTGGTTGGAATTTTGTTAGCTGTTTTCTTCCAGTTGAAGGGTTTTAATGTTCAAATGATACTAGGCTGTGATAGAGTTGAAGTACTGTTCATCTCCAGTGCAGTAAGAATGTAGTCCAGTAGCTAAATTAGACCCATTTGCTCAAAGCATCCGACGCAGGGCCCTGGACCTGTGAGTGCGCACTCTTCACTGCAGCAGCAGCAAGTGCTAGATGGCCCCATTACGCAAATGTCCTGACATCTGGCTTAAAACAGTTATCTCTTTATCTTCAGTAACTATTGGGAGATAGCGGAAGAGGGGTAGTGTAGTATGTATTAAGATAAAGCTAGAGACGGGAGGAAAATGTTGAAAGAATAGAGATTAGTGTTAGATCAACTAAGAGAAAAAGAAGAAAACTAGAGAGAAGTGGGGAGTTAAAGTGCTGTTAGGATCCACAGAATTCAACGATTATTAAAACTGCGAAAGGCTAAAGTTAATAAGTGAAAAGAGAAGAGCATGCAACAGAACAAGGGGAGATGAGGTAAGGATGGCAAGGGAAAACACACTTGACATTTATAGGATGGAGAGTGGACAGACACAGTAGGATGAAGGCAGCCATGCCCTCAGCCTTTTAATAACTAACTTCACTGCACTATGCTTACGGGCAGCTGCTAAGCACATGCATATTCAAACTGTACAATTAAACAATATTAAAATGCAAAATACCCAACCGTGTTTTATTTCTAGTGTCTGACAGCATGTAGCTAATGTTTGGTATTGCAGAGATTTCCACCACTGCAAATTATGCTAGTGAAAAGCTCTGCAAAACATGGAGGCTTTGGAATCTCCTTCAGGAGCCCAGCCCCAGGGAAGAAACCACGTGCCTTTCCATGTGCCTATCATGAGTCCGTGGTTGTCTTATTTTGGAATAGAGATCTTCCAAACTGCTTATTTCCCAAATTCATCCCTTCCCACTCACGTGCAGTGGCCTACTTCAAACGCCAAAATTCTTACCTTTGAGAAAGTATATTCTTCTAAATTTATTCCTCGGTTTGGAATGTCATAGTCAATCTCAGCAAGGAAAAATAACAAAGAAAAATGTATTTTCAAGAACATACACGTAAGTGGTAAATGTCTGTTTTTAAGGACATTCTGAGTTAGCCAGAAAAAAAGGGGTTTCCCCAGATGTCTCCTGTTACTCCCTTGTCACAAGTTCCTGAAAGGATTGCATGAAATGTGCTCTCCAAGATCATAGTATGAATAGTCAACTGCCAAGAAAGAGTAAATTTATTAATTCTTATTTTTAAAATTTTATTCTCTCGGACATGTGCCCTATATTTTTTTTTCATTGAGAAAAGGCCTAAAGGCAATTATATCAGAAACAGTAACAAGTGTCTATTCATAATATTCCCAATGCCCATTTTAGAATGTAAGTTTACTCAAACCTCAACCCTGAAGCTCACTGGCAGCTGGATGGATGATGATGGTGGTGTACAAATAAGAAGTAAACAACACCAAAAAAGAAAAAAAGAACTCCACTAACTTCAGCCTCCACTAGATGCACAAAATCAATGTTTGACAAAGAGAAAATGACAAAATCACTAAAAGGAGACTTTTATTTCCTAAGAGATCTTTGCACACAATAGAGTGTTAAAACCATGAAAAATAATCAATAAAACACACTCAATGAGCTCTATTTAAAATGCATTACCATGAGCTACAAATACAGAGCAGGAACTAATTGCTTTGTTTGTTCAAAAGACGTTTAATGGTTCCTTTAATTTAGAATAGGTAATGTTAGCCTTTGAAAGTTGATTACACTTGGAATAAAGTCTATGTACACTGAGCTCCCAACATGAAGGTCTCACTATGTTGGTCTCTATGCAATTTTTAAGTTATACCCCAAATGTGTGCATTCATCTACTCAACAAATATTTAAATGCCTATATATGGTAGGCGAACATATCCACCTACCTTTAGACACACGTTGTATTTAGATAATACATGCTGCACCAGGGCTTGAACATGGCAACAGTAATTCTGCCAGCCTCTTAGGAAAAACAGATTGAGGTGCAAACAAAGAAACCAGGAGGTTTTACATGTGCTCTACAGTATTTTTTAACAAACAAACAAAAAAAAATGGTGCTACATGGAGGTCCAAACACCAACAAAAATGCCTCATTATAGAAACTCTCTTATATGTAGCAGAAACCAAGTTGGCGGTGGATGTACTTTTATTTATACACATATTCAATGCGTGTGCTGATGGGTGCCTGTGGACGTGTGCAGGTGAAAGGAGAAGGTGGCGGGAGCTGGTTCTAGCCTTCCACCGTGTGGACTCTGGAATCAACCTCTGGTGTTAGTCTTAGTGATGTGCCCTTCACTGCTGACAAAGGTCACAGGCTGAGCACTGGGTGCAGGGTAATGAGACACAGCTACGACCTCTGATTGATAACAATCCACAGTCACAAAGGAGCTATGGAAACGTCTGGTGCCAACTAACAGCTTTATCCGTTAGGTCCTCTATTAGAGGAAACTGCTTGTGGCACTCATCCCTCACAACTACTGGTTATAAAAGTGACCTGAAAGAAATTAGCTACTCATTTCTTTGTACTCTAGGTATTTCTTTTATTTAATTTTGATAAATAAAGTACAGGCTAACACTAAAAAAAAAAACAAAAAAAAAAAAACAGACCAGAGTCAAAAGTGAAGATCATTTTTATTTTATAAATCTATAATAAAGATTACATACGATGACATATATACACATACCCCAAAATATGGCTGAAAGAAGTAAATTGTCTGATAAATTCAATGAATAAACATTCACGCATTCACCATTTCCTTCCTGCCTGTTTATCTGTCTTTATTCAATGAATAAACATCCACACATTTACATTTCCTTCCTGTCTGTTTAGCTGTCTTTATTCAATGAATAAACATCCACGCATTCACCATGTCCTTTCTATCTCTTTAGCTGTCTTTCTTACCTGACAGTAAGTTCCTGAATGGAGGGATCAGTGTTCTATCCATTCTCCTATCTAGCCTTGGAATTCAAACATATTCAAGACATGGTTGTAGGAGGGAACGTATCATAAAGCTGGCTCAAGGATTTTCTTACTTTGTGTAATTCTTTAATTGCAATCTCATGTGATATTCTTGTTTAAGTGCTTCCCTTTGTTCTGTATGAAATTGAAGAATTGTTGATCAGAGGAGGTAAACAATGAGTAAATATACTAATAATTAAATGGAGCACCTTCTACAGCTATCTGTTAGGGCAGGATTTCGGTGTAATTAGCATCCCCTTCCTAAAGTAAGCCTCTCCTGAAGAAATGCCAGCTGCATAATAAGCAGGTTTGAAAGAGAGAAGGAATGAAATAAGGTGGCCTCTTAAAGGTGCCTAATTGTCACTGGTAAACATACTGATCCCTGCAAGTCTAATGGTGCCAAACTTATTTAGTGCTCAAAAGAACAGGGATTTTAAAATTCCTAAATGCCACTTTCTTTTAATCAAGAATTTTTAGTTGTGTTTACATTTATTCAATCACAGAATCGTCAACTTTGAGAGGAAACGTGTAAACGTGGGGGAAAATAAACCCTGGTTATAGGAGAATGTAATATTTTAACTTAGCAGCACTTGAATTGTGTCTGTCTGTCTGTATCAGAGCTTTGATGGAGCTGACAGATTTTACTCAATCTTTCTTAACATAAAACTTATAAGACTACCAACGAAACCTGTCTAGGCCTACCTGTGGCTCGATAATCTGTGTTTTTTCATAGTACAAATCATTAAACGACCATATCTTGCATATATTTCAATATATTTCTGTAAAATTCAACATGTGTATGTGGTTAAAAAATATAACCATAACAGGGGCAGAGGGACTAGGAACTGAGTTGACTAGAATATTGGGGGAAGGGATTTGGTATTTGTGAAATGTGTATGCATGTCCGTGTGTGTGTGTGTGCATGTGTGTATCTGTATCTGTGTACCTGTGGGTCTATATGTGTGTGCATGTGTGTGTGCACATGTTTATATGTGTGTATCTGTGTTTGTCTCTGTGTGTGCACATGTATATCTATGTCTATACATGTGTGTGTGTGTATGTGTGTGTGCGTGCCCGTTTGTATGTATCTGTCCATGGAGGCCCAAGGTAAGGTCAGATGTCTTTCCGCAGTTTCTGTCCACCTTTATTTCGTGAGACAGAGTCTCTCACTAAACAGAAAGTTCATAGATTTAGCCATCCTGGCTAGCACTGAGCTTTAGGGTCTTGCCCATCTCTACCCAGAGCCACACATAGCACTGACTCTATAGATACATGCTAATGTGACCACCAAACTCGGGTTTTCATGCTTGTGTGGCAGGCACTTCATCAAATTGGCCCTCTACCAAGCCCCAACTGACAGATCCTGAACAGTACTTGGAGACAGTTAAAACTTCCATGTTAAAAAGCATGGATGGTTAGAAGATAAATGGCATTAGTAGACGACGAGGCTGCTTCCATACGCCCCAGTTCTAACACTTACATTAAGAGTTTATCAGAAAGTTCTTCCTACATGTAACTGAAACATATACATGCTTAAAATATGCTATATTGCTAGAATTGATTCTTTGGGGTCTCACTGTTAGTATTAGAACGCTTTCTACTCTCATGATATAGATCAAGCACTGACTGAGATCAGACACTGTCAAGAACTGAGAAAGCAAAGCTCAAAGATGTGTGCCAAGCATTTTACAGAGCTCGGGCATTAAAAAGAAACAAACAGAATTAAGTATGGTGAGCTTCTACATTGAATTGACATGGGTCATCGAGTCCTAATGGATCGTTGTTACTACCTATACCCGACCTTTGCCATACAGAAAGATTGATCTGGGACCCAGGAACAACCGCAACAAAGGCACGCAAGTGAGAAACGGGCACATTTGAGGGGCTGTGAGAGAGAGAGAAGGATAAGAAACTTCAACATGTTAGTGAGACAGAGAAAACAGAGCCTAGTGACCTATAAAAGGAAATGTGAGGGTTTTGTTTTTGTTCTATGAAAATCATGTAGAGTCAGAATTTGATGTAAATATGGATTGGGCACTCTGATTTAGGGAGACCACTACCTGCCATTGTGCAATTAGTAAGAAGGAGCACCACTTAAGGCAGGAGACCACTGCCGAGAGAAAGCCTGAACAGGAGACCGTTCAGAAGAAAGAATCTGTAGAACTTGGCTATGGTTAATTGAGGGCCCAGGGCTGCAGGGAGAGGGTGGCGAGGCTGACCAACCTGCATGGATGGGTATGTTGGAGGATGTATAATTCCAGGAGCTCACAATTAGGCTTGGGAAGGTAAGAGAACAATGAAGTCAGCTTTACTCAATACAGCTCCTGGATGTGACATTCAGTGAAGTGGGAGAGATTTGGTATGGTGCTTTTGAAACCACAAACATGGATGATACTTTTCAAGAAGTAAATATAATGAGAAGGGAACATAACAAATTTTTGAGGCGTACTGCATCTTAAATGGGCAGCAAATGGGTCTCCCCACCAAAAAATGCTGAACCTTATGCAACTCATGTAGGTAAACCAAGAGCGGCATTTCTGCATCCTTGTAAGAGAAAGTCTTAAAAACAAAAAGTATTTCAGAAAATGCCAAATACCACAAAATTCTTATCCCTCTCCTCATTCCTCAACCTCGCTGTGCACTCAGTATTTACTAAGATCTTAGAATGTTATAGGTACTAGTTTACTCAGTTGTAAAAGTCAGTCCACTCCTCAAGAAGATTACAGTTTAACCAGATGGACTCGTTTTAAATAAAATATCCAAGGGAATGGTGAGATGGCTCAAGAGTAAAAGACATTTGCTGCCCAAGCCTGGTGCTCTGATTTGACCCTCAAACCCAAGTAAAGATGAAAGGGGAGAACTAACAACACAAAGCTGTCCTATGACACCCCCCCACACACACACATAACTATGTACATAATGATAAATAAAAAGACTCTACCCAGGAGGGTATCAAAGGAGATGCTAAGGCTCATAGCCAGACTTTTGGGCAGAGTGCAGTGAACCTGTGATAGAAAGACCTGGAGGGGACAGGAGCTCCACAAAAAGAGCAACAGAACCAAAAAAATCTGGACCCAGGGGTCTATGCATTGAGATAACCTTGAACCCCTAGAACCCCTGCACAGATGTAGCCCATGGCAGCTCAGTATCTAAGCAGGTTCCCTAGTAAGGGGAACAGGGACTGTCTCTGACATGGACTCAGTGGCTGGCTCTTTGTTCGCCTCTTCCTGAGGGGGAGCAGCCTAACTAGTCCACAGAGGAAGACAATGCAGCCAGTCCTGATGAGACATGATAGGCTAGGGTCAGATGAAAGGAGAGGAGGACCTCCCTTATCAGTGGACTTGGAGAGGGATATGGGAGGAGATGAAGGAGGGAGGGTGGAATTGGGAGGGAGTGAGGGAGGAGGCTACAGCTGGGATACAAAGTGAATAAACTGTAATTAATATAAAAAAAATTTGAAAAGACCGAAGAAATGTATGTATCATTTTTTAAAATATCCTGAATTCCATAAAACAGATGTTAAGTGTGGGAGGGCTCCTATATGGCCTTTGCACTGTTAGTTTTGTTGGTATAAAAGAAGTAGGAGGACAAATTATGACCAAACTCTTGTATGTTAGCGATGGATATGAGAAGAGAATGTGAAGTAAAGCAATAGAGCTGACTCTTCTGTAACTTCTATGTTAAACAGGAGGACAGTAACAAAACAGGAAACAAAACTGATTCCGTGTTTCTGGTGTGTGTGTGTGTGTGTGTGTGTGTGTGTGTGTGTGTGTGTGTACTTTTGATTTGCCTTGATTTGGTTTTGTCTTACTGATTTTTTCTTGTTTGTTTGGATTTTCATGTTTTGCTTCTAATATCTTGGTCTTTTTTTAGGGAGAAAGAACATGAAATTGGTTATGTAGGGAGGTGGGAAGGATCTAGGAATTGGGGGAGAGAAAAGAATACAGTCAAAATATACTATATAAAAATTTTTAGCTAAAAATAAATAAGTGAAATGAATAAAAAGGAAAAAGCACATGAACAGCTGTGTGTTTTTTAAAACAGAAAAGTCTGGAGCATAATAACAGGCTATATTTGAAGAAAAGTCATAGAGAGAAATAACTATAACTATTAAAAGTAAAGACTAATAAATAAAATTTGCTAAACCTAATCAAAATATAAATGTATTGCAGGTAGATTCAAATGAGCTGAAGAGACACTACAGGACTTCTACAAAATTTCAGGTAGGCGACTCACAAACAGGTCTACAGCCGTTTAAGCAGAACTATTTTCACTGTCAGTGTCATCTTTACAAACATGTCACCTTCTTGTAACAAGCTTCACGCAGACCTGATTGTGTTTTTTAACATCAGTAAGTAGTCCTGAAATGTGACCCTCCATGCTTCATACCACATTCATCCCCCTGCAAATGGGGATGTAAATACTCAGAAGCCCAGTTAAGGAAATTCCAAGTTAAACTGCAGTTAGGGGGAAAAGGGCGTACCTTTTATTTTCTACAGATCTCTAGTTTCCAATCATGTGGTGTGGCGGTATCAAGTCAGCAAAGTTATTTCTATTCCTAACTGTCCTTTATGTAAGCAAAGTAAACAAATTGAAAGTAGCCGTTGTTTAGATGACACAGCATCTTTCTTTTTCAGATTAAAAACATGGTCTTATGTCCTATAGTTCTCTCTTAATCTGTCTTCAAACTGAAAAAATAGGTGGAGACTGGATCACCTAAGGTTGCCTAAAGCCATTTCATGACTCCAGCCTCCCCTAGGACAGTAATTTAGTTCTTCAAAGTGTTCTAGGAAATGTGTTGCCAGCAGTCACTACCTCTCTCTCTCTCTCTCTCTCTCTCTCTCTCTCTCTCTCTCTCTCACACACACACACACACACACACATATACACAAATCAAACTATAGGTCACAAATTACAATATAAAATGACTCGAATCCCATCTGTTTTTTTTTTTAATTTCCAAACTTTTTTCACTTTAACATTCATAGCAGATCTATACTGCTTTAGTAAATTGTAAAAACATGAAGGGTATCCTTTGTAAAATCCACAGAACACTGAGTGATTTGTTGAAATTGGATATATGTAAAATCCATTTATGCTTATATGAAACATTGATTTAATTGTAGTCACTTCTTTTGAATTCCCTTAACACAGGGCTGCCTGTCTTAAAGTATTGCAGAATAGTTAATTTTATTACATTTATTTCTTTTTGGTTAGTGTATGCATACATATACACACCAAGATTCTGTGTGGAGGAGAACTAAGAGGATTCAGTGCTCTCCTTTCATCTATCACGTGGCTCAAAGTCAGGGCCTCAGATTTGGTGGCAATAATCTTTACCTGCACCACAAGGAATCATTCTTCAGTGCTGCCCACGGCTAGGTCTTGTCAGGGGCAAGAAGAGAATAGTTTGGGTATAAAACAGGATCCAGATAGGAGTTACCACAGTGTTCAGATGCCACAATGGTATTATGTGGCTAAAGGAATTGATACTTATGATCTGATTTTGTAATACACTCCTGGGTGCAGGAAATATTAAAATGTGAAAGAAAAAAAACACAAACAAACCATTATCTGTTGCGCCATCTCACAAGCCTGAGAGTACAATTACTTAGGACTTCTGAAATAATATCTTAAAACATTTGAAATAATATCTTACTGTTTCTATACTAAAATGTTTTACATAGTCCGAGGTACAGAATTTAAAGTCAATCCATGATTAATTCAATTTCCTACAATTCAGTGAGAAATAAAATATCTATGTCTACACAAATCCACAAAGGAAAGTTAAAACTGTAAATGAATAATGATTGAATAAAGACTGCAAATAACTAATGATCCAGTGATGAGTTGAGCAGATGGGAAGAAAGGAAATAAAATTATCATTATCATTTGAGGTGCAAACCATGGGTTCTAGGCAAGTCAACAACTCTATATTCCTGCTTCCTTGTTTAATATTTTAGTAAATGTCCTATACATATCTCAACTTAGTATGAGAATCAGTGTATAATTAGGAATGATATGTATAATTTCTAAGCCAACACCCTTAAAGAGTCATTTACTTATAGTAACTAATCTGGCTAATTAATTTTCATTTCTGTTCAACAGATGTCGGCTTTGAGATTGCTACTCACTTTCCTCAACTTTCTACCTCATATGTGTGGCCTCACGATATGTTCTTAACTTCTCTTCTTCTCAGGATAGTTTAGAATTTTAAAGTATTTCTTGATAGGCTGTATAACATGTAATGAAAACAACTATGGAATAACAGTTTTAATGACAGTCAAGAAAGCACAAGGGACTAGAGAGACAGCTCAGCCATTAAGAGCATGTCTTCCCTACTGAGGCTTTCTCCTCCCCGCTGTGGCGGACTGGAACCCCTACGTCCATTTGCTAAAATGAAGTTCTTCATCTTTACGCCACTTCAGGGTGTTTTCTCACAGCGTCAGAAAAGTGGCTTGCACATATATCGGCAGGTATGGATTCAACTCCAAGCACAGGGAAGTACACAAACTCCACATAAAGGTGAATATATTATATTTGCTCTTTCAACAGATGGATGTAGCATCTCTAATGCCGTTTGAAGTTCTCTGCATCTTCTTTGGATTTAATCCAATATTTAGAATGAACCGGATATTAAAGGTAAAAAAAAAAATGTATTCAGGTGCCTTTTCCTTTTCTTATGAAAACCTTGAAGCAAGTTTAGATATCATAAAACTAACAGTACTCAAATTTTTCTGAATACTCCTCATTTCTCTGTCTTTATCAGTACATGAATTTTTTTAATGGATGATAGAAAAATACCACTGCTTCTAGTGATGGAAATAACTAATTCTTTCTAGTCTATCTTACAAGTATTTTTAAATTAATTTATTTTTATTAATTACAGTGTATTCACTTTGTATCCCAGCTATAGCCCCCTCACTAAACCCCTCCCAATCTCACCCTTCCTCCCTCATCTCCTCCTATGACCCTCCCCCAGTCCACTGATGGGTGAGGTCCTCTTCCCCTTCCATCTGACCCTAGCCTATCAGGGCTCATCAGGACTGGCTGCCTTGTCTTCTTCTGTGGCCTGGTAAGACTGCTCCCCTCTCAGGGGGAGGTGATCAAAGAGCCAGCCACTGAGTTCATGTCAGAGACAGTCTCTGCTCCCCTTACTAGGAAATCGGCTCATATATTGAGCTGCCATGGGCTACATCTGTGCAGGGGTTCTAGGCTATCTCCATGCATGGTCATTGATTGGAGTATCAGTCTCAGAAAAGACCCCTTTGCCCAGATTTTTTGGTTCTACAACAGGTATTTTTTTGTAACCCAAAAGACGAGTGCTTTTGTGCTTCTAAAGACAACTAGAATTACAAATAAATGTTTATAATTTTCATATTTTTTCTCTGCAACCTGTTTTATCAGAGGGTCCCTGAATGTCTAAAATATAAGGCTATAAAATCAGAGGGGTCTGTAGGGTCACCTCTAGGTTTTTATTTACTTAAGATTCTATAATAATAGAAACAATGCAAGTATAATTTTACATCTTTGACTACAACCAAAATGGTCATCAAGATGTGGTGGCACTTGGGAGGCTGAGGATTTCCATGAGTTTGAAGCAAGTATGGACTACATATGAATCTTCAGACTAGGCTGGCCTACAGCCTTAGATTCTGTCAAAACACGCGCACACGCAAAGCAGTTAATCCTCTAAGGCCGTAAGACACATCTACGTGACAGTTTGCTTGGAAAAGACAGTGAGAGTTTTTGTACTGATATGGAAAGAAGTTCAAGCTAAATTGCTAAGAAAAAAACTAGAAAGACAATACTTTACAGAACAAAACTAACTTATGTAAACCAGAAACAATGTCAATTTAATAAATTTAAGTAAATTGCTAAATATTATAAATGTTTTTCATAAAGCTAATTAAATCAGTTCCCTAATATGAAAAGGAAAATCTGGATGAACAAAGGTATGAAGAAAGACAAAATTTTGAAGGTATATATTTAATATTGAATTTGGAATACTTTTATATAGTACCTATTCAAAAATATTCTAATACATATTTCATAAACTCAGCTGTGTTTCATTACTTATAGAAATTAGAGGCAAATCTGAGTGAATTTTTACGTATATCTTTAAAAATAGCAGTAGTAAAGATAGTAAAGATTCTGACTGCTCTTGCAAAGTTTCAATTCTCAGAATCCACAGGCCAGCTAACAATGGTATGTAACTCCATTTCCTGGGGACATGTGCTCTTTTCTCTCATCTGAGAACATCATATGTGATGCAGACATGCACGCATGCAAAACACCATACACACATACTTTAAAAAAACAAAAATAAATAAATAGTAATTTTTAAAAAGATACTAATGATAACGTACTTCAAAAGACAACCTCCTTAAAAAGAACTCAAAATTTTATCAATTTTTAATTGCTTATCTTCTTTGCATGCAAGAAAAACAACATGATTATCTTTCTAGCATAACCTAGCAACAGTAATAAATCCTACAATAGCAGCCGTTGCTATGACTAACTGAGAATGCACACACTCTGCTAAAACTTTGCTTCCAATATCTATTTTATTCCTACCAACAATTTCATGTTCTCAGTGAGGAAGATGAGAAGCAACACAGTAGGAAAACCTGTCCTTTCACATTGATGACATAGGCGTTACTTATCTTACTCCAGATTATTTGCCCTGTATTCCCATATGCCCAAGAAAATTCTAGAGACTGCTGCTGGGATTCTGGAATATGAGTGTAACTGAAGCAGAACACAAAGTTCCAATCAGTATAGCATCTGACCACCATCTCGTCAAACTGAAAATCTCATGGGAAAGTTTCAGGAAACACCTGTTCAAAAATAACTGATTTATAAAAAGACTCAGATTCTTGTGGATTTGGGAGTTCACATAGCTTTTTAATAACATCTTATGAATGCTCACTTTTATACCCCATCTCGAATGCATGTTAGAGAGCAGTCTACAACCAGCATTTTAATATAGCATATTACCTGAGTCAACACTGATTTCTTTCCTAGCTGCAGAGTCCTATCTTTCAGTTATTTATAAAGGTGCTATTTGAATAGACAATTCTCTAGGGTAAATATTATCATGTACCTGTCTCCAGGTTGGTTATAAATGAAAAAAAATGCTATGAACACAAATTTTCTCTATAAATACAATTAGTTTTAAAACATTGTCCTTTGAGCAAACTTCTAGTAAAAACCCAAAAATCAAGTTATCAAAAAAAAAAAATGCAATTAACACAGAATGAGCTTTTGAGAAATATTTTCAGGAATTTGGGGAAAATAATTGGTGTATATTACTAGCTTAAGAGTTATTATTATTACATATCTTATTTCTAATCCAAAGGTACAGCAGTAACATGTAAATTGGGGGATATTTAGGAAATAGTCACTGAGGACCCCTGTCCATTAGATCAGATCTTCACTTTCCAAGCACATTTGGTATATCAATACATACCTGCACACACTCCTTTCAGAGGCTACTTTTTATTATGGTGCTTTGTACATAAGGAGCCAGGTACCAAGTAGAAGATTTTTTTTTCAGAGCCACATTAGCAATAGGATGGGCTGGCATTTAGTTCTGGGATTCATGGTGATTCAATAGTCTTATTCCATGCCTTATTTCCTACAGAAATGAAGGAGGGAGAAGAGGTCGGGGTAGGAGTTCCTCAGGATGTGAGAGCTCAGACAAAACTGAGAAGGGAATAGAACGCACACAGCATTTGTCACTCTGGGCCTGAGTTACCTCACTCAGCACTGTTTCTAGATCCATAGATCCATTCATTTCCCCGAAAAAGTCATGGTTTCATTTTCCCTCAAGCTGAGGAAGTTTCCCTTTGTACTCACCTGCCACATTTAAGAAAGAACCTTAAGGGACGCAGCAACTCTCTTTGGATTAGACAACACGAAACCATTGCACTTCAGCTGACACAGAACATGACAACGCTCTGCAAAGGCTTAGTGGACTTTACATTTTGAAAACTGTTACAGATTTTCTACCTCTTCCCTAAAAATAAAGTTACTGTTAACAATATATTTTTCTTCTTTTGTTTATATTGTGGGAGTATGATTTCAAACTTTGCAAAACAAAATTTGAATATATGTATTAGAAAGAAACCCATTATTGATTTTCAACATACATCACAAACAGGTCTGTATCCAAAGGATAGAAATAAAATAGAGCAATAAGCTCTATAAATTTGACACCATGTTAAAATTCTAGCTAGAGGAAAATACCGTTAAATATGACATGGGTTTTAAAAAGCATGAATAAAATAATTTACAGTAACCTCTGTTATACAGTTTTATCTAAATAAACATACAGTTAAGTTACTTTTGGATTTCTTGTGTTTATTTCTTATACAGTTCACTTCATTCTTTGAGTTTAATCATCACCTGGAGTCTATAATGGACAAAGCATATGTCTACAGGTGAGTTTCAACGGTAAATTTGGAGAAAGAAAAGAAACTTATGACAGAACATTTTAGAGGGCACTTAGGAAACAATGCTCAAAAACACGAGTCATTTCTTATTTTGATATATAAAAATAAGTGTATGTTCCTAAGCAAATTGGGCTATTTCAAGTCAGATTAAAGTAAGGAAGTCTTAGTGAGAGAAAGGACCTAACATGTTACAGCTTAAACAATGAAAGATAAGCACACTTGCAAGTCAGCTCTCCGTCCCTCAAGACAATTTACGCCTAGTCTAAATTTCACTCACTTGCCACTCTGAACTTCCTGAGCACGGAGACCTTCAGTCACAGTTCATCACAGCATGAAGTCCTGTGAGCCTTTTAGCTATCCAGGTAAATCAGTGTGGCATATTGTATGGGATTCGAATTGAAGAAGTGACCCTTGAGGCATGTCTTTCATGGAGTTGACGCACACCATCTGTGCAAGGAAATGAAGACTTTTTTCACACTCTGCCAAGCCCATTCGAGACTCTGCAGCCAGACAACATGTGATGTCACCTTCGCTTTCTACTGCACAAATGAAAGTTGACACTTGGCAACTCTAAAGCAAGAGGGCTCACTGGAGACAGAGAAAAAGAAAGTGTTGGAATCAGCTGCGTTCCAGACACAATGTCAGCCCTTACTCTGCACTTACTCTCTCTGACAGGGTCATCCGAACAACTGGCTACTTGCTGTTTCTTCTGCATGTCAATGCCTGTGTTTATTATTGGGCTTCAGACTATGAAGGAATTGGCACAACTAAGTGGGTCTATAATGGTGAAGGAAACGAGTGAGTTCTAATGTTAGAAGAGACTTTCATTCGTTCTTCTTAATTTTAAGTTTTGGTATAAGAATTTTCATAAGCGAGCATTTTCCTAAGTTTTCATAAGCATATGTTAATTGTACATAATAATGAGTGTCACTGTGGTATCATTTCATGAGAGTATGTAATGTACTTTAACCATATTCACACTTCTCAATACCCTTGATTATCCTCTTCCCGCTCCCATTGATCCCTTTCCTCTTCCTAACAGTTCTTCTAGTTTCAGGCTGTGTGTGTGTGTGTGTGTGTGTGTGTGTGTGTGTGTGTGTGTGTATGAGTGTGAGCGTGTGTGTGCATGTGTTTATGTTTGTGTGTCTGCATGCAAGTGTGCATGCATGTGTACTTATTAGTTTAACTTGGATTATGTACAGGAGCATGAATAAGAGGTTGTGGACAGATAGGCGGCTTACATCAGTAAAGACATCTGTTAATCAGTGCTCAGCCAAGGCCAGTACCACCTCTCTGGTGTTAGCATACTTTTAAGTGAAAAGTATAAAATACATGAGAAACTTTCAGAGAATATCTAATACAGAGCAGATGTGTGTGTGTGTGTGTGTGTGTGTGTGTGTGTGTGTGTGTGTGTCTGTGTCTGTATCTGTGTCTGTGTATATGTATCCGGGTTGACATGAAAAATGTGATTCTTACTAGAAATCATAATCAAAAAAGTTTGGAAGCTTCTGCTTTAGAGAACCGAACAGTAAAGTAACTTAATAAGTACAATGATAATTGTTACTAATGATTAATGTTAATTATTTAGCAAGCAGGTGCAGTAGCTAATTAGTTGATCACTGAAGGGTTTTATGGATTTATGAGTCAGCTATAACCACTACCTAGACTAAATAGAAAATAACAAGACTCATAAATAAAACTTGACAATTAAGCAAGAGTCTCATGAATAAAATAGATCACTTGAAATTGTTCATGCAAAAGAATCAGAATTTAGTCATAACAACTGGTTTATTTAATGGCAAATTTTCCTTTCAGTAGATACAAAGTCCTGGTTTAATGTAGACTACAGTGACCTTCTGTGCCAGTGAAATGTCATTGAACACATTAGAAGACAATGTCTTCTCTAGAAAAACGTAAGCCTTAGAATTCTTTTGATAGACAATACATAGCAGCCTTGGGATGGAGAGCAAAGAGAATAAAAATATCTCATAAATTATACACTAGCCAAAGCAAGTGGGTCATGTGTAGAGGAAAATATATATATAATTTTAACCAACCAATTTTCTAAATATTTTTATATTACAATATAATTACATCATTGCCTCTTTTCCTTTCTTCCCTCCAAACCATCCCATACTCTGCCTTGCTTTTTTCCAAATCATGGTCTCTTTTTCATTAGTTGTTAGAACTGATTTCTTTAAATCGTCTATGCGAAGGGCCACTAATTGTGAAACACATACCCACAAAGTAAATATGGCCCTAGAAAGCTTAAAATCAATCCTGTAAATTTATAAAGAAATGAATTTAGAATGTGAGTTGATTTATGTATTTGCTTTGATAGAAATAATTTTATGGAAAATTAAGATACCAACTAATCTTAGGTACAGAACACCACAGTGACTAATGTTGAAAGATTCATGATGCATATGTTAGGATGAAACTTACATGTTAATTTGTCAAACTTTTCATTTCTCTCAAAAATATCTGAATCAGACAACCTACTGGAAAAAAAAGGGTTGTTTTTCTCATAGTTTCAGGAGTTTCACCCCATGATAAGTAGGCACCATTACAGTGGATCTGAGCTGAAACAGAACTTCATAACAGGGGATTTCATGTCATGGTATCCATGAAGCAGAAAGAGAACATGCCTACCTATGCTAGTGGGCTTTCTCCTTTTTATTTCTCCAAGACATGGTTTCTCTGTGTAGCCTTGGCTGTCGTGGACTTGCTTTGTAGACCAGGCTGACTTCGAACTGACAGTGATCTCCCCCTGCCTCTGCCTCCCCAAGTGCTGGGATTGAAGGCATGTGCCACTTTTGCCCAGCAGAGTTTTCTCCTCTTTCTCCCTTTATTCTGCCCAGGTTGTCCTTCATGTGATGGTGCCTTGAGCATTAACGAAAGATCCACAGATTCTTTAATTCTCTCTGAAAATGCCATTCCAAGAAGTGTTCTTTGATTAGTCTACTTCATTATCAAGTAGACAATTTAATTCTTCTTCATAAGTTACAGTATCAACTGTTATAGTAAACTGAAACTTTTTTTAATTTTTTGCACATTTTTGGCATGAAAGTGAAGTGTAATTTTGTTGTTTGGTTTTTGTTGTTATTTGTTTTGGGGTTTTTGTTTGTTGGTTGGTTGGTTTTGTGTGAGAGAGACAGAAAGAGAAAAAGAGGATCTATGTAGCTCTGGCTGACCTGGAACTTGCTATGTTGACCAGGCTGTCCTTGAACTCATAAGAGATTTGCCTACCCTTTCTTTCCCAGTTTTTGGATGCAAGGTACATGCCACCATACCCAGGTGGTAAAATAATTTTAAGGAAAGATCAGGAATTACATATATTTCCTGATGATTATGCATATCATTATACATCAGAAAAACATATTGCTTTTTAATCACTAATTATATATTTACCATGAACTTTAAAACTGCATACAGTTTTATTGAAGAGAAATTAAAATGCATATCCAGGTGCAAGAGAAACTAAAGGAAATAGGTTCATAATAATCAGAAGCTTCATATAGCCAAGGTATTTTAAAATAGATGTATAGATGTTTTTGAAAGCTACAGTAAATAAATACAATAAGTATTATTCTGCGATTTGAAGAAATAAATTACATAGACACGAATAACTCTCAAAAAAGTTGGAAATAACCATGCATGGAGATAACCTAGAATCCCTACACAGATGTAGCTCATGGCAACTCAGTCTCCAAGAGGGTTCCCTAGTAAGGGGAACATGGACTGTCTCTGACATGAACTCAGTGGTGGGCTCTTTGATCACCTTCCCCTGAGCGGAGGAGGGCAGCTTTACTAGGCCACAGAGGAAGACAATGCAGCCAGTCCTGATGAGACCTGATAGGTTAGGGTCAGATGGAAGGGGAAGAGGACCTCCACTATCATTGGACTTGGGGAGAGGCATGGGAGGAGATGAGGGAGGCAAGGAGGGCAGGATTGGGGGGGTGAGGGAAGGGACCACAGCTGGGATACAAAGTGAATAAACTGTAATTAATAAAAAATAAATAAATTTTAAAAAAGAGTGGGAAATATCTTATATAATGCATACATATTTTGATGTCATTTTTATAAACTTGTGGAATAAATGAATGATCCTACTTACAACAGAATCCAATGGAATAAAAACTAAGAGGCCTAATACATATACACTGAAAACTGTAGCATGGAAATGAAAGCAAGTGAAACAGAAACAAATGGAATCACATCGGGGTTCGTGGATTCGATGAGGGGCTATTTTTCAAATGTGACCTACTCAGAGCAAACCCTGTCGAAATCCCGGTGTGTCTTTATCTTACACCATCCACACAAGCCAAGTAACTGGATTGAATACACAAATGTGAGAATCCAAACTATGAAACTATTAGAAGCAAAGCAGAGCAGGAGAGCTCCACGACTTTTCTCAGAGCAGGAGAGCTCCATGACTTTCTCAGACAATCATAGCTTATTATAACCCCTCAAACATAAAAGCAAAGGCAGATACATGTGTTTCTCTCATACTAAATACGTTCTACAATAGAGAGAAAACATGAGCTTCTGTTATACTAAAAATTTCTACACTAGAAAGAAAACAATCAACAAAATAAAAATATATCCTACCAATATAGAGAAAATATTTACAAACCATATACCTGATAGTGGGTTAATGCCCCAAATATGAAAAATTTCTACAATTAAAAAGCATACTACTTGGCAATTAAAAACAAGGAAATCATGAAATTTTCAGGCAAATGTGGGAACTAAAAGAGATCATCCTGAGAGGTGAGGTATCCCAGAAGCAAAAAGACACACATAATATACACTCACTTATAAGTGAATATTAAACATATAATATAGGATAAATATACTAAAATCTGTACACCTAAAGAAGCTAAGCAAGAAGGAGGACCCTAAGTAAGATGATCAATCCTCATTCAGAAAGGCACACAGGATGGACATTGGAAGAGAGAGAAAACAGGGAACAGGACAGGAGCCTACCACAGAGGGCCTCTGAAAGACTCTACCCAGCAGGGTAGCAAAGCTGATGCTTAGACTCATAGCCAAACTTTCAGCAGAATGCAGGGAATCTTATGAAAGAAGGGGAAGATAGAAAGACCTGGAGGGGACAGGAGCTCCACAAAGAGAACAACAGAACTAGAAAGTCTGGGCACAGGGGTCTTTTCTGAGACTGATACTCCAAACAGGACAGTGCATGGAAATAACATAGAACCCCTGCACAGATGTAGCCCATGTCAGCTCAGTATCCAAGTGGGCTTCCTAGTAATGGGAATAGGGGCTATCTCTGACATGAACTCAGTGGTTGGATCTTTGATCACCTCTCTGAGAGAGGAGCAGCCTTACCAGGCCACAGAGGAAGACAATGCAGCCAGTCCTGATGAAACCTGATAGGCTAGAGTCAGATGGAAGGGGAGGAGGACCTCCCCTATCAGTGAACTAGGGGAGAGGCATTTGAGAAGAGAGAGGAAGGGTTGGATTGGTAGGGCATGAGGGATGGGGCTACAACTGCGGTACAAAGTGAATGAAGTGCAATTAATAAAAAATGAATATAAAAAAGCAAAGGTTTTTTCGAATGTTTTAAAAATGTTTTAATTGTAGACATTCTAGTGAGCAAGGTTACTTCAGCATTGGCTTGATTCCCACTTTCTGGTTATCAGTGGCTTTGAGGTTTGTCCTTATACTTTTTGGCTACTTGTGCATCTTTCAAGAAATATTTGTGTAGATTATTTGTTCAGTTTTTGATTAGATTGTTTCTTGAGTCCCTTATATATTTACAGAAGCATAATTCTTATTTTCACATTTCCTTTAAGATCAATAGTGAATTCTATCTTATTGTTTTAACTGGGAACTGTGTTTTTTCATGCATTAAAAATTTATAGAGAGTCTATGTTTTAAATCAGCTGGATGGAATTTCCTTGAAAAGATTTATCTGCCTGGAGTGTAGATATTAGAGATGGACACCCTTGACTAATTAAGCTAATCCTAGAAAATCAATATGATGCCATCTAATTAAATTACAAATCTTACCTTTGGTTGGGCCTGTCTGGGTGTATAAGACATGTCTGAGAAAAGGATCCAAAAATAAACCACAAAGCATCAGGGCAGAAAATTTCCAATTAACGTAGCATAGTATTTAATATTTAAAAGTTCAAGGCTAATCCTTGAGACACAGAAAAATCAATGCCAACATTTAATATATAACTGTCATTTTAACATCTATAAATATGGTGAAAGTAGGTAATACTGTGTGTGTTCCTAGTAACACATATAAAGTGGTGTATAATAGAACTGACCACATAGGAAAAAAATTTATGCCCTTCCCACTTTTGGGAAGTACCAAGTTTGATATGTTTCCTTAGTTTAAAGAAATGCACAGGTTGAGAACCTGTGACCAAAATAAATTAGGCAATAGGATAGTAAAAATTGGGACTCAAAAAGCTGAAAGGCAACCAGTAAATTTACTTTTGCTCTTTGTCTGTTTGACAACAAGTCCACTATAACTAATTAAAAGCCTTCTGGACATTTATTGAGTTGTATTTGTGTTGTCTTGGCACAATGGTTCTAGACTCTCTAAAAAATGTTAGTAGGATTTTTGTAGTGGTTTATTGTAGTGGTTAGTCCTATATCTACCAGGTTAAAAACATCTCAAATCCTATGTGTCCTTCTTAGTGATTCTGTGGGCTCACAGAGACTAAGGGCTCACAGGGTCAAGATCAGCCTGTAAGGGTCTGAGCTTGGTCCTCTGCACATATTTTGGAGTTGTGTAGCTTGGTGTTCTTGTGGGAGTCCTGGTTGTCTGTAATTCTTTTGCCTGCTCTTAGGACCCTTTTTCTCAGGGTTTCCTTGATATGAGAGTATGTACCTAGTTTTATTGTAACTTGGCGTGCCATATTAGGTTGGTGTCCCTGCTCTTTTCTGAAAAGAAATGGAGGGCAAGAGGAGCTTGAAGAGAGGGGAGATGAAGGAGTATCTGGAAGGAGTGAAAGGAGTGGAAACTGCAGTTCACATGTAATATAAGAGAGAAAAATAAAAAAAAATCATATTCTTCAAAATGTTAAATTTGAAAATTATTTACTTATAAGTTTTATTTTATTTACTTATAGATTTTATTTTATTTTTTTAAACACCAGCTTGTTTCATTCTTTATAAAACGCCACTTCTTAGTATTTGAAAATGATTACCCTTGTTCAAATACAGTTGGAAAGTTCTAAAGTGTTCCTGCTATGTGTGACACACTAGAACAAGAAATAATTTATTATTAATTATTTTTAGGAGGCATGTATGAATACACATGGAGGTGAGAACACAACTTTTTGGAGTCATTTATCAGGTTGTCAGAGTACTGAAACAAGGACTTTTTCCCCTGATCCATCTCTTGAGCTTCATCTGTCCAAAATGCTTTAATTTAATATTTTAATATGCTTATAAAGGAGCAGTTTTCCTTATAGGATTCTTGAATGCACTTCATTTTGATAGGTCTTATATCCACCCTCCTCTTCCCCATGTCTCTGTCCCCTCTTCCTCATTGAACCTTTTGTTCACAATATTACTCTTCTAACTTTAGAATTTCATGTGTTCTTTTGTCTTTCCCAATGCTTTCCTCTTGGAGGAAAGGGAGAGTGGGATAGGGAGGGAGGGAGGGAGGGGACTACAGCTGGGATACAAAGTGAAGAAACTGTAATTAATATAAAAATTTAAAATTAAAAAATATTTTTAAAAAGTAGGAAAATATAGAAAAATTTGAGGATGGCAATTAAAATTTCATTAAAGAAAAAAAATCATACTTAATTGTATAAGAATTTTTCCACACCTTTCAAAGCATAAAATAATATAAATTTTATGATTATTACATTATTTTCCTATTAAAAGTATTTTGAACTAATTTAAAATGTGCAAAAAAAAAAAAGACTTTTTCTCATCTCATAGGTTCCTTTCAATTATTCTGGTATTTCTCAACATTTACTCCACCAAATGCACATTTTTAACAGTTAGAAGCTAGGATATGCCTATGAGAGAGAACAGAGATTATGTGTCTAAGTTTGAGTTACTTTTTTATTTAATTTAATATTTTCCAGTTCCACTCATCTTTCATGAAAATGCCATAGCTCATTTTTCTCTATGGTTGAATAAAATTTAATTGTATGTGATACATTTTTTATTATCCATTCAGCTACTAGTAGAAATCCAAGCTTATGCCATTTCCTGCTATGGAGAGTGCAGCAGTGAACATGGATGTAAAAGCAGCACCCGTTTCTGTAGCAGGATTCAAGTTCTCCAGGAATATGCCCAGGAATAGTACAACGGGGTCCTTTAGTACTTCTATTTTACAAACAAAAACTTAACTAAGGCACAATTCTGTAAAAAAGTTTAATCTACCATGAACACCAGAAAAAAAAAATCTGAGACCCACTAAGTCCAAAGCCCATCTGCAAATTATTTGAATTTGTTAAGTTATTTTAATTAACTCCTTGGGAATTTTATACAATGTGCTATGATCATTAATCCTCTGTAACTCCTCTAATGCCGCACATATCAACCTGACCTCCCTACCACCCCAATGAAATGTTTTGTTTTGTTTTGTTTTTAAAAAAAAAAAAAAAAGTAAAAGAAAAAAAAAAACAACATGGACTCAGATTTGTGTTTCCTATATATTTCTGGGTGTGGGACCAGATATGGAAGCATGGCCTGCCTACCAAGACCCACACCCTTAAGCAAAAGCAATTCTTCTCCTGAGAAGCCATCTACTGCCCAAGGCTCCTGAATCAGGAGTGAATCTCATGAATGCCCTCTCACTCCTTGCTAGCTTGATGAAGTGCAGACTTGACCTAGTGCAGGCTTGATCTAGTACAGGTGTTGTGAAGGCAACCACAGCTGCTAAGGGTTGAAGAGCTCAGCAGTCCTGTCATATCCAGAAGACACTGTTTTGCTCTAGTCCTCCAACTTCTGGTTCTTCCAATTCTTTCCCCTATTCATATGCAGAAAGTATTTTAAAGATACAGCAGGAATGCCTGACCCAGGCTGTGTTTTCAGAGCTAAGTCGTTTTATTTGGTGTACTTCAATTCTGAAGTTCTAGGTAAGTTACCTCTTCCATCCAAGAATAGTTTCCTTACTATGAAGAGTTAGTGTTTTTTTTCTTTTCACATTTGCATATTAATATAATAAAATATATAGAAAAGATATTGAACATATTTACCTGTTCTATTTTTCGTTTGTGGAAACAATAGTATCTAAATTATAAAGAGTTATCTCAACAGCATTCTCCACAGGTTGTTAGTTTGTTAACTAAAATGTGTATCACATTTGTAGTGGGCTGGAAATACCACAGTGGGCAGGTGGAGTTTCCTTCTCTCATGGGGATGTCCAGTGGCTGTCTGGCTTGTTGGAAAGTATCTTTACCTGTTGAGCCATCTCATCAGCCCTGGTGTGGCAACTTAAAGATAGACTCAAATTATTTGTTATCTCTCTTCTTAATAGAGAGAGTCCAATATATTTTTCAGTTAATTTAAGCTACTTCTAGGGATTTGCTTGACAAATACAACAAGGTGAAAATTTTAAATGTTATGGAGTTTCTGAGTTAGAAGATCCTTTTAAACTACATCTTGAGCTATAATCAATCTAGAGGAAGCAGTTGCTATTAAGAAATCCATGAATTTTTCTATTATGGTTTGATTTTATCTTCGTGTGTGTGTGTGTGTGTGTGTGTGTGTGTGTGTGTGTGTGTGTGCACATGAGCCTGCATGTGCATCTGAATGTGTTTCTATTTCTCATGGGTTTATTTGTTTTGGTTTTTTTTGTTTTGTGTTGTGTTGTTTTTTTTCTCTGTCTGTTTGGTTTGTTTTATTCAGGTTTGTTTGTTGGTCTGTTAGTTTCTAAAATGATAACAAAAAAAGGTATGCAGTTGCATGGATGGGAAAGGGGGGAAGATTTCCGAGGAGATGAGAGGAAAGTGTATGGGAATTTTTTTTCAATGTTAAAAAAGGTCCATGTGCCTTGAAACAGGCCTAGTATGAGGAAGCCCAATCTAGTCACATTTGGAATATAAGTAGAACAGTATCGTGCCATCCCCAACCACACCAGCACTGGCTTAGACATTTAGGGGAAGAAGATACCTAGGGCATTCCAAGAAGAGATCGTAAGGAGACGAGCATAGACACTCAGCCAAGAATAAGACTCAAGGGATAAATGAGCTGACCTAAAGCACATCTTTCCAGATGTCACTCCATCTGAAAGCCTATTCATTGTAGAACACAGACCGCTCATCTCTGCTAAGTTTTGTATAAATCTCTCACCCATAAAAGAGAAGCCAGATAAGACAGACCTACCAAATTTTGGGAATTGCTGGTAAATACCCTCCTTCTGTTTAAATGTTTAGTCACATCCTAGTGTTTGTTAAGAACGTCACAGTAGCACACACAGTGACTGCTAGTTCCTGCGCACATAAACTATGTTTGAGTAAAATGGCGGTACAGTGATATGTAAAGGAAATTCTATGCATCTTTTTTTACAGGTATCTGAGATGTTATTATTGGGCAGTTCGAACTTTAATTACTATTGGGGGCCTTCCAGAGCCACAGACTTCATTTGAAATTGTTTTTCAACTCGTGAACTTTTTTTCTGGAGTTTTTGTTTTCTCTAGCTTAATTGGTCAGGTAAGCTGACAGTGGATCCCTGGGTACAAAGTATGTTCATTTTTAAAATGCTAATATGGTGAAAAGACTTAATTCCAAAGAGCCATCCAAACCCAATCCGAGTCACATAGACTTCATGAACACCAGCCAATCCCAATCAGTGTCTTGTAGCCTCCATGGACAAAAACCAATCCCAATCGAGGTCACATAGCCACAATAGGAATTCCCCTTTCTGACTTTGAAAAGTGCCTTTGCGCTCCCCTTGGAGTCACTGCCATTTTGAAGGTGGTGACTCCAGCATGCTGGAAATCTCTACAGAAGAAACGCTATGCATCTACATACTACTTGAGCCTGGTGCATTCCTTCAAGGAATTCTGGACCCTAACCAAGGGAGGGATCCAAGTTGGTGGCACAGATAACACACTGTGTCTGATCAGCAGGGCAGCAGTGACTGCACAGCTACCAACAAACTGAACTTCGGGCCCCAGGACAACAGCAAATGTGTTTCTCAAGTGAGAGTAAACCCCATGATGAGGGAAACAATCAGGTCCAACCTCAGGTCATCCAGGTAATCTCTGGAAAAGTCCCTGGGTTCCTGGAAGTACAGGGTCTGCACCATCTAGCCACGGCGCCTAAAAGCTGTGTTCACCACCCAGTGAATACCTTCTGGGGCCAGGCACAAAGCTCCAGCCTCAGGTCTCCTGACCTCTGGGAGCCATGGAAACAGCCATAGAGGTTGCTCCAAAGTTCAATCCATCTTTGGAGAGAGTCTAACCAAACCTCTGGACCCACTGGTTCTTCAAGATGGCTGTGCCCAGCAAACACAGTGTCTGAACACCTGCAACTCATTAACCTCAGAGCAAGAAAGCCAGTGGTAGCGTGGCTGTCTCTAGGACTTTCCCTGGTGAAAGAAGAGACTCTGGACTTTTGAGGAATCCAGTTAGTCCACAGGATTATACACCTGAGGAAAGCCTTGGCAATTCCCTAAAAGCCACCTGCCAGTCAGAGACAATAACCACCAGTCTGAGGAAGGTTCCTGCAGGAAGAGCCAGCTTCCTGCTCAGGGCTCTTCCCGCACTGCCTACCCACCCAGAACTACAGCTGGCATCAGAAACTACTAGACAACACCTGAGACAACCAGATCGGTAAAGTCAGCATAAAAAGACAACCAATATAACCCAAAGCAATATGACATCTCCAGAACCTAGTTTTACAAAGGCAATCAGCTCCGGATACCCTAACACAACTGAAATGACCTTAAATGAACTTAACACAATAAAATGACCTTAAATCTATGCTTATGAAGATGGTAACAGAGGAAATGAATAAAATCTATAAAGAAATACAGAAAGATACAATAAGATTGAGACCATTAAAGAGGCCTGAAAAGTGGCAATGAAATACTCAGTGAAATACAGGAAAATGAGAACAATGAAGTGAAGGAAATCAATAAAACTGTTTAAGATCTGAAGATGAAAATGAAACAATAAAGAAAGCACAAACTGAGGCAATCCTAGAAAGAGAAAACTTAGAAAAGAAAACATGAACTACAAAGGTAAGCATCTCCAATAGAAGATAAGAGATGGAGGAAAGAATCTCAGGTGTAGAAGAATGGAAGAAATTGATGTGTCTGTCAAAGAAAATGTTAAATCAAAAATTTCCTGACACAAAACATCCAAGAAATCAAGGAAACCATGAAAAAGATGAAACCTAAGAATAATAGGAATAGAGGAAAAAGAAGATTCATGTCTTCAAGGCCCAGAAAATATTTTCAACAAAATCATATATTTTTTTCAATTTAAAAAAAGAGATACCTATTAACATACAAGAGACCTATAGAAAACCTAGTAGATTAAACCAGAAAACAAAATCCTTCCACCTCTTTTAATAATCAAAACACTAAATGTTCAGAACAAAGAAAAAAATACTAAAATCTTCAAGGGAAAAAAGGCCAAGTAACATATAATGGCAAACCCAATAGAATCACCCAGACTTCTCAACAGAGACTATAAAAGCCAGAATGCCCTGGACAGATGTCATGCAAACTGTAAGAGAACACAGCTGTCACTCCAGACTACTCTACCCAGCAAAACTCTCAATGATGATAGATGGAGAAAACAAGATACTCAGTAACAAAAAATAAAAATAAAATAAGATAAATAGTGCCTGTCCACAAATTCAGCCTTACAGAAGATACTATAAGGAAAAATCCAATTGAAGAAGGCTAACTACATCCAGGAAAACACAGGAAATAAATAACTTCACTACAGCAAAATTAAAAGTAGACAAGCACACAAACATACTACACAACCAACATAAAAATAAAAGGAAGTGACACTCACTGGTCATTAATCTCTCTCAACATCAGTGGATTCAACACTCCAATAAAAAGACACAGACTAGCAGAATGGATGTGTAAACAGGACCCAACATTCTGCTGCATCCAAGAAACACACCCCAGACACAAAGATAGACATTACCAGAGAGAAAAGGGCTGGAAGAAGGTTTTCCAAGCAAACGGACCCAAGAAGCAAGCAGGAGTAGCCATCCTAATATCTAATAAAATCGACTTTCAACCAAAATTAATCAAGAGAGATGAGTAAAGACACTTCATATTCATCAAAAGAAAATTCCACCAAGATGACATCTCAATTCTGAACATCTATGCCCCAAATAAAAGTGTGTCCACATTTGTAAAAGAAATATTAATAAAGCCTAAAATATACTTTGATTCCCACACACTAATAGTGCGAAACATCAACACCCCACTCTCTTCAAAGGACAGAACAACAAATCAGAGAAATACTGACACCAACAGACGTCATGCATCAAATGGACCTAGCAGACATCTACAAAAACTTTTCACCCAAACACACACACACATACACACACACACACACACACACACACACACACAATATATATATATATATTTCTTCTCAGCATTCTACAGAACCTTCTCCAAAATTGACTATATAGTAGGTCACAAAGCAAGCCTCAACAGATTCACGAAATTGAAATAATACCTTGTATCCTTTCAGATCACAATGTACTAAAGTTGAACTTCAACAAATATTTTTTTAAAAAAGCCTGCACACATGGAAACTGGACAACTTACTCAATGACAGCTGGGTCCAGAAAGAAATAAAGAAAGAAATTAGAGACTTCCTAAAATTCAATAAAAATGAAGGCACAACCTACCCAAACTTATGGGAACAATGAAAGCAGTGCTAAGAGGAAAGTTAATAGCATTAAGTGCCTTCATAAAAAAAGTTAAGACATCCCATACAAGCAACTTTATGGCACAACTTAAAGCCCTAGAAAGATAGAAGGAAGGAAGGAAGGAAGGAAGGAAGGAAGGAAGGAAGGAAGGAAGGAAGGAAGGA